ACTAGGATTATTTTGGTACGTTAATAATTAAATACTTTTTGTCCGTAAATAAAGTTTTTTGTTTTTTAATGTAAGTAAGAAACCTCATAAGAAATAAAAAAAAAAAAATATTCTACCTAATTTAAAATCTATTAAAAATCCAAAACAAGCTCAGAGTACATATTGTCATAATAATTTGTCTAACTGGTAGTAAAATCCTACTTTCTTAATTACTTAATTGAACTACCTCGGGATCAGGCAGTAAAATGTTCAGTGTTCTCAAACATTTTTTTTTTCGTTTTTCTTGTGAATATGTAAATTATAGAAATCTTGACAAGCCTGGTTAATGGTTAACATACCAAATAAAGAAAAAAATCAAAAGATTCATAACTCAAAATTCGATTTTGAGTTATAATACGTTCTCGTTAACGCTTTAACACATATACTACTTGAGACGGAGAAGGACATACACTTACATGCGGACATACTTTTTTGGTATTAGTAATTAACTCGCAGTTTCGTCAGCTAGCAGCTAGTGGAATATATAAAAAAAAATATTCGCTATTTTTTTCTATTTAACTGAAACGTTTGCAGTTACATTCTAGTGTGTCAGGGAAGTCTGCCGCCACAAACGCTTCCACAGGTGTCGATCGATGCGACGCGACGGTCCTGTCGAATCGACACAAACGCCTGCTCAGTAACATTGAATATCCTTACATACCTATAAGTATACCATAGTAGAAGTTTTACTCTGATCAGTATGGTCACTGCCCGCCCCACTTCAGATCCTTGCCCCTCTCTGAGACTCGAATGTGCCTATTCAAAAAAAAGAACGCACCACGTTCGATACATTTATATAAATTTGCGCATGTACTATTTTTATCATTTAGAGTCTAGTATCAGTCTCTATTGTTAACAATATCCTATCAGATCAACATCCATATAGCTGGGGGGAAGAGATTGTTAGTAATGCGGAGATTAGTCCCCATTCTTATACCCTATCAGGTCGACCTCCACGCGGTCTGGTCACCCCCCTTGTAAACCACCGTGACTAATTTATCGTTAAATTCGTCACGATGGGCTAACTAACTTGCCTTTTTACTCTCACTATTCAAATGATACAAAAAACCTCCATATGACATGATACACTATTCCATTTTCATCCCTAAAAGATTATTGCTAATATATATATATATATATATATATATATATATATATATATATATATATATATATATATATATATATATATATATATATATTATAAAGACGAAACATTTGGTTGTAAGTCTGTAATAGATAAACTCAAAAACTACTTAACTGATTTTAATATTCATTCGTGTAAAGTTACATTAGCGAGTAAAATTAGCTATATTATTTTTGAAAATTCAAGTATCCGTGCAAAGTCAGACCGAAATGCTAGTCTATGATAGAATCAAAGAGGTTTTACAGACAACGGTCTAATGTCTTATTACATCATAAATAAAAATACTGTCAGTATCTTTTCTACCAAAATGTATCAGTTTATTACTGCTTTTAATAACAATAAACTCCGAAGTAGAGGCTCTCCGAGGAAATGCAAGTTTCATAAAATAAGTCTACTACCTAGATAGAATTGTAATTCGTACCTACAAAGAGTTTAATAAAAGCTAATTTAGAGAAATAGAGGAAAAATTCTAAAATTGATTTTTTTCTAACATAACTCCCAATAATTATTTGCAAAACTTCTGCCGCTGCCTTCAAAAGAGTCTCGCCAACTAGAAATCCACTAAATCGAATGCATCCGACTCACGCATCGATCGCACACACACAGATGCGTTGAGACCGAGCAAATAAAACAAAATGCATCCCTCTCCCTTGTCTAGTCGCTAGACAACAAAGGGTAGCCTAACAAACTCAGATGGACTCTCATCTAAAAGATAATCAGCGTTGCACCCAAAGCATTAAGGTTGAAACGAAACGCAATTAAAAAGTTAGTGCAGGAAGCAACGTGTGAACTGAAGTTTAGACCTAATTGCGTTTAGGTACAGATTTTACAGTAGAAATGGCAATGGATGGTACCTCGATAAATAGGTACACGATGTGACTAAAGCCAGTTTAAATAATTATACGTAAGTACAATACAGAATTCTTTTTTTTTTATTATTATTGTTATTTTTGAAACTTGAATTGTTTCGAGTATATAGTAATTAATACCTTTATATATATAGATCTTTATTATAAATTAGCCAAACTTTTTAATAAGAAATGTGTGATTTTTAGGAGCGATGGTTTTTACGTCCACAGAATACAGAGTGTACTTTCTAAAAGAAATGTTTAACATGAGACTAATATTAAAGTAAACACTATCAATTGGAATAGAATAAACAAAATCTATTCAGATTTGGGTAAGATATCAAGGAACAAATATACGAAGCAATCACAACTTCTTTGTTAAAGATTTCAAAAGTGAACAATTTCATTCACCAATTTAAAATCGGTCGATAACCATTATTAAAAGGTAATAAGTATGTCTACCTCTATAATATCGAAAAGTTTGATATTCTACGATTCGTTTAAAAGCAAACCAAAGCGAAGGGTCTCAGTTCAAGGCTCAAGTTTAATTGACTTTCAAGATTTTTAATTACGAACTTGAAGAAAGATACACCGACGGGGTAACTGTAGACGCCATTTGTAATGGAAAATTTCACAATTGCTGAAGAAAAAAGTATATTTTTCATTCGGTGCAAACGGTTTTTAATGAATAAAGTTCATTGTATCTAGGAAGCTTTGTTTTTACAGAGCAATCAAGGCTCTGTAAAGTATGTACAATAATAACTATCAATATAGGACTTCCATATGCAATAGAAGTAATTTTTACAAAACATGGAATAAGCAAATACCTATACTACCCCCAACTGATTGAAAAATAAATTCAACTGCAGACATGAACAAAATCATAGATAGTATCGTAGAATATATTGTGACATGAAATCCAGTCATCCAACACAACAAACTGTCAATCTTCCTTTTTGCAAATCATAAGCAAAATAAATAGATTAGCAATTTTTTTAATTTCTGTATCCCAGAAATTGGTTACTAGAATTTGCATTATTTCTGATAATAAATGCCAAAGATTTTATAAAAGTTAGGAATAATTGAATCCAGCTAAATTCTTCAGGACAGGCCAGCTGGCTTGCTTTCATCCTCACCTATAATCCCTCATTGTGCCCTTGCTAGCGTATACCGATAGCACAAACGAGTGTACTGTTCCACTTTCTTAAAAAATATACTTTCTTTTACCAATGAATCGAATTAAAGGAAAAGGTAATTGTTGCTCAGGTGTAAGATTCTCAGCGAAGGCAATTGGTCATCTTCTAGCGCTACAGCTGCTTTATTTATCAATTTATTACAATTTAATTTAGATAAAAATTAATACCATGTTCAGATAAAAATAAATTCCATATACATTAAATAAATTAGAAAGTAGTCATGTTGGCAAATTCAGCCTCACTCATATATCCACTTTGAGCTCGTATATTGCCAGTGTACATACGATTAAAAACTTCATCAGCAACCCGTACAGGTGGAGGCTTAGCTATCAGCATAGGCCCTGGATACACTCGGGGTATGAATGGAATCCCGGAGCTGTCTGGTGTCGCTTTAAATATAACTTTGCAGGATTTATAGAGATGACCACCGCCAGCTAAATGATTCATTGTTGGACATTAACAGCTCAATATTAATTAAAATACGGACGATATATAAAAAAAAATGATAATACGTCACAATATAACTGACATTTATAAAAAAAAAGAAATAAAGTTTTTATTTATAATAAATTCCTAAGCAAATCTTAGCTGAGTGTATAAATATCAAGTTGTATCTGGCAACACTTTCAAAGACGATTCGTATGTCTGAAAATGCACATGTCGAAATGGTTTAATGTTACAAATAATAAAGGAAAATCGGACATTGAGGTGCTTCATTTCTCACAAAGACACTACAATATGTTGTTATAACACGTCTATGAAGTAATTTTTGATACGGAATTATTATTTTTACCGATCGCCGTATATATAAATTTATTAAATATATTGTAAATATCTAGCTGAAATTAAATAAAAATAATAATACCATATCACACTATTATATCGCGGGAGAGAGGATTTGTTAGTAATGCGGACTACAAATCATATAATATATTCAGTCAGTCGGTTGACCTCTATGTAGTCCCACCGTAAAACCATTATGTTGAATTCAAAGTGTATTCATCAAAATGGGCTAACTGACCTGTCTTTCCATCTCACCTATCATCATTCACTGGCCCCCTACACCGTATATCGTTAGCGCAGGCGGGGTTACCACTCCACTGTCATCTTTTGATAAATATTTAAAAACTGCGATATCGTATTAATACTCGAACTACTTCATTAATATTAGCAGTCAAAATCAAAATCAAAATTAGCATCTAGCAACCCTATCCATGTACTTCATTTGTCCATAAATATAGTTATGTGATTTAGATAAATAATACCGCGCTTATAAATAAGAGCTCTTGTTGAGTTCAAATTAGTCAGACATCTTCGATTTTGAAAAGTGAATAAAGTCAACATAAATAATTACAATGGCGTCGATTTTGAAGCACCATTTGTTCACATCTATCTCTAAAATTAGAATTTCAATTTGATATCGCAATTATTTTTTTTATTTTAAGAATTAATGTGAATTAAATTTCTACTATATTTTAGGCAAAATTACTAAAAATTTAGATTTTGAATGGTCCATAAAACAGTTTCGCGAAATTATTCAATAAAATATTAGGCTAACAGAAATTTCAAGTGATGGTGCCTCAGAATCGACCGCAATGTTAATATTTACAAATAAACTGGTAGAATCGTTAATCCGTCCTGTAGGTATTTGTTGTCAACATTTTTAATATGTGTTTTATTTAAAATAAAAGAGCATAAACATGTAACTAAAATACAAAAAAAAATAGTACTTGAAATACGTACCGGATTTTCGTTCGAGCCCGAGTTGGTATTTTGGTAACACTGAATTTGTGCGAGTGAGATAGGTTAGACAAGCCACCAAAGAAATAGAAAGACTGAATAACATAAAAATAACTGGTATTTCAGTTTAAAATTTAAACTCATACTCTGTTTTTAGTAACAATGTATGTTTTAGCTTTGTTATAAAAAGTGTTTAAAATGTCTTTTTCTTTTGGAACGCCGTCAAGTGCCCCAGCCACTTCGGGACTCACTGGGGGTTTTAATTATGCTGCAAAGTAAGTTAAAGTCTAAAGAAAACCTTTTTTATATAACTACTAATAATATGAGGTCTGTTTTAAATAGCGTATAAACTTTTTTTTAATACAGACACCGTCCTTTTTAAAAAAGTGAAAATATTTCATAAATATAACCTCAAAAGTGCAACCTTATGAATTGTATTGTTTATACATAGGCCAGCTACTCCAGGATTTGGTCTTACTGCCACGACCCAACCGTCTACCGGTTTGTTTGGTACCCCTGCGACATCAGCACCCGCTTTCGGTACTGGAACGCCTGCTTTTGGCGCTGCTGCTACACCAGCGTTTGGCGCCACCTCGACGACCCCTGCTTTCGGGGCAACTTCGACTGCCCCTGCATTTGGTACCTCAGCGACACCTGCTTTCGGAACTAGCTCGGCAGCTCCTACATTTGGTGCAACAACCACACCTGCATTTGGAGCTACAACAGCGGCTCCAAGTTTTGGGGCAACATTTGGTGCCACATCTGCTCCTACATTTGGTAAATAATTTTTTTTTTAATTTACTATATGATTACAGTGATAATTGTAAAGATGGAGAACTGAAAAAAAAAACACATAAGCGATAATTTGAAAGAGTCATTATTATTTTTTTTCATGAAAGTTAAAACTACAAATCATTTTTCACTACTGGAGTGTTTTATCACTATATTGCAGATTGGATAGATAAGAAATATCAATATCTAAAATAGATTTGTGACATGTTTGACATTTTTATGAATAAAGGGGTAAATAAATAGTACCAACATAATAATAAAGTTAGCCTAATATTGGGTAGATATGACTATACATCATAACATATCCTACAAAGCAGCTGCTTATAGCTCTGAACCAGAATACAGGTTAGATTTATTATAAAAAAAAGTAATTTATATATGCATATATTCTTTATTGCACTAAAACATACATTAATAATTACAATTACAAACAATGTAACGAAAGTAAACTTATCTCGGAAAGACATCTTTTTATTCTGTCAACTGTCTTAGCCCAATTTATCCTCCAGAGAACTTATATGGTTTTTTCCCATTTATTTAATTGTGTCATACATTTTAACATAGTACACAAAATAGAGACAGAATATAGAATAAAAGTTATACAATGTTTTAAAATTGCTTATCATAGAAATTAAAAATAGCAAATACAATATAAATAATTTTGATGGTTGGATAACTCCTTAGTTCTCAAGAATAACGAGAAATGAGGAGTATCATAAGCATTAATGTGATATAGATGTATTAATGTCTATAAATTGGTTACCATTATACCATTACCGTCTACCAACAGATGAACTATCAGTTTCACTTCAAAAAAATTCTGCCTGGTATCACAAAATGAAGACAATTCTTTTGTTCAGGTTCAACAACAACCCCTGCATTTGGCACTACAAGCAATCTAGGTACTGGCCTTGGTACTGGTGGCCTTAACTTTGGAGCTGGAACTAACACTTCAGCAGCTACAGGTATGTTCATTATGATACATCTAGCTATTTAACAAATTAACATTTTGCTGACCGGAAATTCAGTCATGGTTGAAATCTTTGGATATGAAAAGATGAGTTAACTCATCACTGGTCAGCAAAGTGTTAAAATAGAAATATTATTAAGAAATCACACTCACTTTGAAATTTTTTCAATTACATTTTACTGATTGGAATATGATCTTCATATAAAAATAACGACATAGTCATTTCCAATTTTTCTGATTACTTCATGATGTGAGTAAAATATGGCACAACAATTGTCATGTTTTGAAATTGCAATTTTTAATTTCAGATACCACCATGTTTCTTTATACTTACATAGAATGACAAATATCCCATAACCATCGCACAAAGATATGGTCAGCACAAAATACATTGTAGCACCAATAATGCACCAAATTTCTTTCCTGAGTACCCTAATTTTAAATATATGAGTTCCTGTTACAATAAATTTCATGTTGATTTTTCAATGTTTTGAGTTTTGTATTATAAATCACAGATTGATTTAAACTTTGTTTCACAATAAAAGTACCAAATTCAATTGTTTCAAAATTAGTATGAGACCAACATGAAAGTTAGTCCTTGCAATTGTGAAAAGAAATGGAATATATTCGCAAAAATATACATAAACACAAATAGCATTCAATTAAAAATGTCAATTTTGAATTCTCCTATAATAAAACAAAGTCATTAAGGCATTTGCCTTTTTAAACTTAGCTGTTGTAGTATTAAACATTTTAATAGTATTAACAGTAAGCAATTCCATTAATGATGATTAATGAATTTGTTATTTCAGGTCTGTCATTTGGAACCACAACCACCGCAGCATCTAGTACGGGTCTTGGTGGTTTAGGAGGTTTTGGATTTGGTACAACAACAACACAGAGCACAGGCTTAGGGTTATTTGGATCGACCAGTACTGCCACCACTTCTACCAGCTTTTTGGGTAAGTACTACTTACCTATAATAAGTTATAATAAACCTGGTTACTTAATTTAGGTCACTCAAATTGCAGAACAGTTTTCTCTGTGCTACTATTGATACTTTAGGAATATAACTAATGGATATATATAACTATAAATAAATAAGAAGAATATATAAGAGAAGTTTTTGACACAGTTCTCCTACCTACCTTACATAACCTGCCCTCCTGTACAAGAGGCAAAAGAATCTATCTGTTCTCCTAGTCATAGTCTGGTTTCTTACCTTCGTATTCATAATAATCAAAACCTGCAAATCTATTTGAACTGTTTAAGTGTTTTGTCACTTTCTTGCAAACAGAGATTAACTTTAGGTAGGTTTATTAGATTAATTAATGAAAAACTTTACTGTTCCCCTAAAAGAAAAATGCTGCTTGCATAAGTTAAAAGAATATACACAAAAAAAAATCTTAATTACAAGAAACAATGTAAAAAGGCAACATTGGGTGATCTTATTGCTAAATAGTGATCTCTTCCATGTAACCTTAGATGTTTAAATTTTTTATAATTAAAGATTTTTTCGCATTTTAATTGATAGATTTGTTTGCCACTATTCTAGGAGACTGTCACCATCAATGTTCATGTGGTCCCAGTGTTCTAAGAGATGATTAAAAGAACTTAATAGTGGAAGGATGGGTAGCAACATCCCTCATAAAATATCTCTAAAAGCCTAACTGAGGTTGCTAAACCACCTGCCAAGCATGGCGACTGCTGGCAAAACTCCTCTTATGTGGAAGGAAGGCTTATGTTCAGCAATGGACAGTTAATGGCTGAAATGAAAAAGCAAATGATTCTAGGGGGGGCTAATGTGAAAATAAAGTGGCTTCTATATAGGTTCTTTTAGTTTCAGTATAATGCAACCCTACCAGAGTTCCCCATACGCAAGCTCCATTATTCCAATCACACAGACCTTCCAAATGATAGCACCTATGTCATGCCTAGAAACCATTCCCAAACCGAACTTTGAAGTAAGTCCTATTAAGCGTGCCGCTAACAAGTACGAATTTAGGAGTTCTAAAAGGGATCGATATCGTACTATGACGCCATCTTGTGGTGAGATTTTAAATAATAAAATCGTAATATGACATAAAATGTAAACATTTAGTTCAATATTGTTTATTTAAAAGATATTTTTTATTTGGTTTGACTTATTTATTCATTGCTTTGTTGGAAGATTTCAGTCATAAGCATTACTTAATACTAATATGCATTAAAATTAGAAATTAATTACTGTAAAAATTTATAGTGAAAATAAATACTAATTAATCTCTCTACTCATACTCCTAGGTCTATCTAGTTAGTGACTAGCAGTTAAAATTTTGATTGTAACTGATATGTCTTTGTAAATAAATATTGTTGTTATTATTATCATCAATAGTTAGTAGAATAGATGCTTACATTTATACTTGTCTTATATAAATTGTTTTTATAATTTTATTTATTTTACAGGTGCAAAATTGGGTACTACAACTGTTACTGGAACACAACCATCAATTTCAGGTAAATGGCATAACTTATGTACATACACAAATCTTGTATTAGTATAATGTATATATGTAAATCATCTCCCCATAGAGGGAGGCTTATATAATGGTTAATGGCTGATATGATGATTAGTATAATATGGACATTATTATGGATACTGGTAATTTAGAGACATTACAATGTAAAGTCCAGTCATAGTGTTCATAAAATTACTATTTTCTGCTCAGAATATACTTGAATGTTTGCTTCAAAGATGTCAAGTTACCTGAAAATTAAGCATGTAAATACCAAACTTACAAAATATATAACAAAAGTTATTTATTAATAGCAAATCTCTCATATATTATTCTTATATAATATAATACTCTATATGTAATTCTGTTATATTCTATTGAATCGAATGTAGTCTCGAAAAATCTAAACGTATTATTTACAATTCACATAAATTAAACTTTTAGACTTTTGGGCTTCATATTATAAATTTTATAAGAGGCAGGATTTAATGCGATCATTTAGGTTAACCTGAAATGTCTCTGCGTTTCTACCAATTAACAGCACCACATTAGTCTACTCGTGAGATCTCGAAACATCAAGATAATTCAGCTAGATTGCCATAATTTATCTAAATGATCGCATTCATTCTCGTCTCCTATAATATTTTTTTTTTATAATACATACATATCTATCTTTTTTTATAATGTGTAATTAAAAATTTCTTTTATGTTCTACACAGCTACACCAAGTTTTGGTTTAGGCGGTGTGACACCAGCCAGTACTGGTGTGGGAACTGGTGCTACCACAGATGCAAAAAGTAAGTACACTTATAGTATTTTAGGACTCATATTTTTTCATATTAATTGTATGACTTTGTTCGCGTTACAGATATATTGCCCATGTATATAACAATAGCCAACCTTCTCCATTCTAAATGATCCATGCCAAATTTCATGAATATTCGATAGGCTCTTACAGCATTTTTTTAATGCTTTAACAAATTTTCAAAAATTTTTCTTTACTTTCACAATTTATAATATTAATAAACGCTATATATGATATTTCCTTATTTTATATTTATCTTACAAAAATTAATATTACTTTTAACATTTATTTCTAGCCGAGCCACCAAAGCAAACAAAGCTTCCAAATGAAATATCTACCACAGTGGACTCCTTCAAGGAATTTGTGAAGAAACAAAAGTCACTCAGCTCTGAAGTCATGCGTGTTTCAATCAAACCATTGCACAAGGTATGTCTGAATTAAAATAATTTTATCATTAGACTCTAAATATAGGGAGCAGTTATGAGGTTCAATATATTTCTTTATATTTTGTAATCTCGCAGTGGTTCTGTACAAATTTTTGTCAAAATCAGAACAATTAATATTGGTTTAAAATTAGGCAGACCCTCTAAAAATATGTATAAAAATTAAAATGCAACAGCTGCTGTTCTTCTCGCCGGATATTGCGTTCTGAACTGGGCGGCTGAATCATAAAAATGGCTATTTAAAAATACATTAAATTAATATACTTCATATGTAATATACTTCATATACTTCATTTTTTTTTTATTTATTTTACTGGAATTTGATATACGAACGCTCTTAACCCCGTGGCAGGTTTCTCGCGAGGCGGAGGCGACTTTGCGGCTAGCGTTGTCGTTAGGTGGCGAAGTAGCGCGGGGACGGGCACACTCGCGCCGCCTCAGGTCTTCCGCCGCCGCCGCGCTCGCTGCTGCCGAAGACGCTGCCGCTGCCGCCGCTGCTGGTAAGTCACCAATCTTAGGCATATTCATATCACTCTAGACTTAGAACTGCCATCGTAATCGCTTTTAAGAGAAAAACTATACTGTCATCGGAAAGTCTCCAACCCTGTATGCCACACATATATTTCTTAATGGATGATAATTGAATTATAACCCCGCCTACGCTAACGGTATACTCTAACGAGGCACCAGTGAAGGATGATAGGTGAGAATCAAAACCCTTTTCTCCATGAAAAGGTAGGTCAGTTAGCCCATTATTATGAATACACTTGGGATACAGTACAATGGTTTCCAGGGAGGAACGCATGGAGGTCGACCTGAGAGAGTACATTGTTACTAATGGCACTGGTAGTTTACATTACTACTATCCCATCTCTCACACCATGTGGCATTGTGTGATTGTTAATCATGTGGAAGTTAGTCCTTATTGCTATCAGTATGGTGTATATGTTAGGTGGAATCCAAGTGGTCTTTCCTGGAAACCATCGTGGTTAATTCCTGGTGAATTCATCATGATAACCTGACTTTATCCGATCAATATTCAATCACTGGTTCACAGCCAGTATGTTGCTGGTGTGGCCTGAATTTTCATTTCATTAAAATAACTTTAGATGAATTCTCGTCACAATAAAAGATGCTGTTGTGACTATAGCGGAAAATTTTATCCTCGCCACAGAAAAGGCGGCATTATTACCATTTCAATTTACCGTTGCTCTCTGCTGAACAATGTTCAGTGAACATTGGTCACCTCTGTACATTATCATAAATTACAATCCTAAGACACAACTGTATACCTCTTTTTCCTTTCGTCACTTTATCTTGTGGGAATCGGTTGACGAAACGTACCTTAGACAGATATGTAACTTTTCTAGACTAACTTTCTTATTTGTCAGTTGTATATTAATAATATAACAGGTTTCTTAATATTCAGCTTTGACTAATGTATAAGTAAAAAGTAATGATAAATCACTCATTATATTATTGCAGTATACATAATTACAATAATCCATCATCTCCAGGTATAGAGTTGGAAAGTACCCCGCCGCCTATTTACGTGAAGGAGCTGATATCGGAGTTGGAACAGCAACTGTTAACGTTCAGGCGACAAATGGATGTGGCCGACAAACAAATGCAGTCGTCGCCTAAACTACTTACAGAGCAAGGTAAAGTTTATGACAAATAAGTAACTTTAACAGTACTGTATTTTGTTTATAAAACGAGGCAAACCAGCATGCGGCTGATGGTAAGTGACCACCGCCGCTTATGATAACCCGCAACACTAGAGGCATTGCAAGTGTGCTGCCGGCTTTTTAAAAAGGAGTGTGTATGGCAATACATGAACGCAGTATACTGGGGGAAAAGGGATTGTTAGTGATGGACACTAAGAATCCCATTGCTAGCAATATACCCAGCCAGGTCGACATCCTCTCGGTTCTCCCTGGAAACTATCATAGTTAATTTCTTTTGAATTCGTCAAGATGGGCTAACTGGCCTATGCTCATTCTCATTGATCACCTTTCACTGGTGCTCCGCCAGCGTATTCCGTTAGCGCAGGCAGGGTTGAAACACGAATGGGACAGAGGTACCCAAGCAATCGACTTTTGTACAAAGTCTCCCTCTGTCCTTACAGAGAATTTAATTTTTTATATTACATTGACATTTTACATTTCAGAATTGACATTAGGAATCCGACGTATGCATGAATCGCTCGTGGCCTTGGCTGGGCGATTACAAGCAGTGCACACACAGGTGGAGGCACAAAAAGAACAATATCTCAACCTTCGCAAGTACATCTTAAAAGATCCAACAAATGTATTCGAAACACCATCACGTGAGTATTGTCTATATTATATTATAATAAAATATTAAGGGAAGAAAATACTATATATTATACAGGGTGGAAGGGATTGGTTCCAGGCATGAATGCACTGCAATCTGCCATCTGCACCACAGCCATATAATTAACGATATTTACTTAATGCCGCGCAATGTATTTGAAATTTTACAACGTACTGTTCTGCATGCCACGTGGGATATATACACTTGTGTTGTTGACTTCACACAGCTGATTTCGTGCGTCGCGGTAGAATATTAATAGGAATATAACATCAGCTGTTTTTTAGTATTTTACTATAAAATATTATTTCTTTATATTATGACATATCATAGATTACATGAATTTAAATAAAAAAAAAAGTTAAATGTTTGTAAGTGTGCATGTTCTTCAACGCTTCATATATAATATATAAAGTTTGAAGTGGTGTACATTGTTATTTATATATCATTTAATAGTCATATGATCTAATGAAATATAAAATTATTTTGTTACAGCCAATAACAGCCTCGATCAAATATTGAAAGATGCCGAAGGGTCCAGAAAGAAGACCAAAACGAGCAACATGACCGATGTGAGCTTTGGTAGTGCCGTCCTGTCCGATCCTAGAGCTGCTTTAGGTACTGTGATAAATTGTTTTCGTTAGTATAGTAGGAAGAGAGTGCCATAGAAATGCTATAAGGGAATGCATTATGAAATACCAATAGAATGACGTCATTGACCAAATAAACAAAGAATGTACCGCCTTATTCACAACATATAATTGTGATATAGCTATTTAATTGAAATGAACAATTTAAACATAATACTTTTGATGTGGCGAATAAATTGAGTTATCCAAAAATAAAAGCAGTATGCAGAGCAAAACAAAAAATATTTCCGATCTTGCTAACACATATTTTGCTTATAATGGTGTTTCGATCTATTATTGTTATTGCGTATCATATCTATTAAAACCGCATGTACTATTTTAAATTTATAGTTAGTATAGACATCAGAAAGAACAAAATGTCATATATCGCTGTCTCGTTTTATCTCGTATACAGTAGTGATAACGTATTTAGATTCGTTTGAATATATAGATAATAATAATAATTAGTTACTACTCCAGGGGAGCTCCTATCCCTAGTTTCTGCAAAACACATTTTATTCCTTGAGGTAGACAGTAAATACAATGAAATCATTTATTTGCAGAATACAGTATTACAAAAGGTATTAATAATAGCATTCATTTGGTGTATTCAGCTCTACAGGCATGCGCATGACATTTTAAATGTCAACTATGATTCAATTATTAATAAACTTAATTAAATGAAAACAATTAATATCTATATAATAATTTAGCAATAATTAAAAGAAAATTGGATTTCATGTATATATATATATATAGTGCAATGTTCACTATATATGTACATGTTACACAGACATGTTATACATAGTTCAATTACAGAATGTCTAGATTACTTTTTAAATACAATGAAAACATTTTAAAATATTTTATACTATAAATACAGTTTTCTAAGAACCGTATCGTCAAATGCAATTTGGAAGAGTTTCCATTTAATACTTATGTGTCGTTTTTATGTACAGGTAACATACAACAGTTGGCTGGACCGACACCATTCAATTACCTCAGTAACACTTTATCTCCATTCCCCGCAGCTGATACAAGTGGTAAGTTATGTTACATTATTTAACATAAAGGTGTATTAATATGTAATATGTTTTGTGTCACTTTTAATGTTCAATAACTATTAATCATGCAATATAACTGTTGATTTGTCCTCTCAAGAGAATGATATTTTAACCCTTAAAAGCCTGATTTTTTAAATCAAATAAAAAAATGTCCTTTACTGTGTTTACTAATAGGGAAAAATAGTAAAAAAATCAAAACTATATTTTTATATGTTTATTTTGAAAAAAAAAACATTTGGCATCATTTTTGATACTTTAGGCATTACGGTAATCAAAATATTTAAATTTATTTAACAATGAAACAATGGAAATCCTAGTATCGAATTAGAAACTTCAGGCATTTAAGGGTTAAGAAGCCTCGCTAGCTAAGAAGTTTGATATAGGATATTTGTTGTTTTCCTTCTTTTGTACTAGTTTATTAATGTATTTGACATATTACCTATTAGCGACCTGCTCGGCTTTGCACTGGTATATAGGTAGAAAATCCCTATTTTTTTAATTTTAATGTTAATGTCCATATTACTCGCTTATAATATAGTTTTCTATATGTGAAAATATTTTTCTAAAATCTGTTTTCTTAAATTTAATCCATTACAAACGGAAAATGTTTCCTCTTGTATATGTTCACATATATTATATATATTAGCAAAATCTGACGTATTCATACATTTATCATAATATATTCACTTTTGCCAGGTCCAGGCTGGCAACCGCAACCCCAGCCGGTATTAAATACATCATTAAATCTCACCAGTTTCGGAACCACTCCATCAGCAGACACGAGCACTTTTCAACTTCAGAAACCGCCCGGCAAACGCGGGAAACAATGATATTGGCGATAGACGCTGGCTACCAGCGGATAACAAACAAGATAAAAGACAGTTAAACTGTTTTGTGCCTAATTATAACAAGTGTCACGCTAATACATCCTTTCCAGTTTTTAATTTTTGACAGCGGCCTTCAGTACGTGTTCCAGACACGAAAAACAATGTAGCAAAAGAAAGAATATAAACGGCTTACACTTCTTTAATATTTAATGCTTCATTCATAAAATATATATGTTAACTAAATCTATTTTAGCTATTAAAGTGTTATCTTTTTTAACAGACTTCAAAAAGAGATTCTCAATTCGGTTGTTTTTTTTTTTTTTATATTTGTTACCTTATAATTTCGTCAGTTGTAAACTGATTTGGAAAATTATTTTTTTATCTGAAAGCATATATGTGCTTACAGATTAGTCTCATAGAATTTTTATTAAAATAACTAATATTGCCACAATTGAAGTCTGTTTTTTTTTTTTTTTGAACAATATAATTATCGCAGTTTTTAGTTTGAAAGAAAATGACAAGACACTAATAATTAAAATATGTTTAAAGAAGGGTTTATGTTTTATGAATAATGCTCTTTATAATATTTACAGCGGTTCAACTGTTTATTATAGATTAAACAGTCAATCAAACGACACGTCTTTTTGTATATCGAAAGAGCTGTCAAAAGTGCGATGAAAGATTGGAAATGGTAACATTCTGTATACTATGGTTAGACAATGTATTGTTACATTGTATTTCGCTTATTTAATAAATAGTCTTATAGCTTGTCTTTTTATCAAAATAATAGTGCCATGGCCGTAGCAGGGGGGGGGGGGTATTGAGGGGCAATGCCCTGCCTTAAAATGAAGGGCCCCAAAAAATTAGATTTATTCGCTTTTTGGAAGTCGCCTAATAAAGGCTTTTATTGCCCTTTACTTGGGTAGCTACGGCTCTGGAAAAAAATAACTAAAATAAAATGGACAGGGTGATGGGGTATCGTGGGTTTCATAGTGTATTCTGAAATATCCATAAACGAAGGTAAGCATTCAGGGCCATAATGCATATTTGTCCTACTTACATAAAATACTTATTGTATTTATTGATTACATACTATTATTCCTTGTCAATTTTGTTTCTAAAGGATTAAATCCGATAAAAAGATGTGTCAAGATAAATTACTATAGTTTATTTCAACAGAATGTAATAAAGAAGGAATCAAATAATCGTCCCAACTGTAAGATAGTGTGCTGTCATAGTAATACAAATTAACAGTCGTATGATATTTTGAATGTTTCGGTTTGTTACTAATTTCATTAAAAAATGATATTTCTGTGATATTATTAATAAAACTAGTTTACTTTTTTTTTATTAAATTCTGTTGATACACATGTAATGAATATGATGATTATGTAATGAAGGAATGTGATGGAGCCACAATCTCAGTTGAAACATCGGATGCAAACAACTCTGTACTGTTTCGTAATACTTGTAATAATTTACGTTGGAAATAATTTAATAATATCAACCGTATAAATATATAAACGAAATTGTACTGTTATCTTAATAATAACTTTACAATGAAGTGATTCTCAATTTGCTTTTTTTTTAATGTTCTCCAATTCTGAACCAATCTAATTATTGTTTTTACAATCGATAAAAATTAGGTACTCCCATATTGGTTCTGTAAATAGTTTGTTGATCCTTAAATTGTATTTTATTGCTTATAGAAACGTCTATTAAATACGTTATATGGGGGGGGGGGGGGGTCTAGCAAAAATATCGAATCTGATTTGTAGGGAAGACAGCATGTTTAGTTAATTAAAGTTTTAAAATAAAGTGAATACATACATACATACATACATATCTGTCACGCCTGTCTCCCATTAGGGTAGGCAGAAACAATGGAAAATAAAGTGAAATAAATATAAAATATACTTGTACTATGTTCTACTCTATTTATTATCTTAACATCATACATATAATCAAATAATTGTAATAATAATCTCACGGTGAGATGGAATATCCCACATCTTATTAAATTTCAGTAAGGGGAAAAGGAGAATTCAAATAAAAAAAGCTCGCGTAATTAACAGATGTCTTCTAATTCTACAAATTATATTTAAGTTAGCACGTGGTTACACTACCAACTTTTACCACGCGAGACGTTTTCCGTATTGTGTGACGCTGCGTACAGTTTCTTTTTTTTTTTTTTTTTAGTAATTACAGAATTTAAAAAATCTCCGTTAATGTGCAATGTATTAGTAGAGTTTTTTTTTTTTTTTTTCATAAGATATTGCATTAACGGTATGTTTATTCGTAATGTGGATAAGTCCTAATTCTAATTAGTGTACAGCATAATTCACACGCGTGTAAAATATATTTGCGTATAAGGTAATTGAAGAATTGTTGAAAAATTGAAGTATAATAAACGCAATCAATGTCCTGTTTGAGAGGTCAATATGTAATCGTCTTTGTATTATTGTAATTTTTAATTAATATAATATTTTTTCTATTATGTATATATCTATATATGTATATATATTTTTACATATCTGGCTGACACCATTTTTTTTTATTATATCTCCGATAATGAAAAAACACTGATAACGTTCCTTTCATGTCATGACAAATTATCTCAACCACCTGTTCTTTAGGTCAGCCAGTGGTGAATACGTGAACGCAAATGTTTGTAAAATAAAGGCTCTGAATTGTTTCGCGCCAAAACGTACTTTCAATAGATGTGCCGCCGCAAGCCATTACTATGTCAACGTCCCTCACGGGGGGCAGAGGAGTGGAGGGAAGTTATTGTTAGTAATGCAGATTACCCGTCCCATTGCTATCACTATACCCTGTCAAGTCGACCTCCACGTGGTCCTCCCTGGAAACCATCGTGCTGAATTCCAGGTGTATTCATCATAGGCTAACTGGCCTTTTCATCCTCACTTTAATATCTCCTACTAGTGCCCTGTCAGCGTATACCGTTAGCGCAGGCGGGGTCACCATTCCATTATTGTCTATTAAAAAAAACTTCTCTCCTTCATCGATTATAGTTTAGATTGTAAATATATTGTATTTTAATATAGTCAACTTTATATTTTAAAATATAATATCACAGTTGTAGACAGTAAAAAAATTTATAGCGATCGAATTATTAATTAATTGAAAAGTAAGGAGCGTGTGTTAAATCTCTTTTTATTTTGGGATTGGTTGAAACAATGGATTGTCGTGTCTGCCTGACAGAGTTGTTTTATTTCATGACAAATATTAATTTGATTAAACAAAAAAAATTATAGATATATTAAATAAATAAATATATTACTTAAAATAATAGTGAAATATAATATATTTTTAAATTGTCTCAAAATTACAAAAGTGTATAAATCTAAAATTTATTTTAAACAACTTCAATTACATGGTTGTATTGCTAGTGGTGTTAAAAAAAAATTACATGGGTCTCCTGAATTCTAAAAAAAAAAAATACATTTTTGTGGTTGTTGTACTTCTGCGTCGCATTGAGAGTTACGTGACAATTTTTTTTTTCAATGTATTTGGTTGCAAACACTAGTTCTATAACAGCAGAAGTGACTGTGAGCATAAGTACAATTTTTTAACTCCTTAGTTGAAAGAAATTCGTCATAGGACTCAACCAGTAGTCCCTTCGTTTTTATTATAGACTACAATATCCTGATGTGAAGTAAATCATTTTTTATACTGTTGGTATTTAGCTTGAGATATCAGCTTATATTTCCGTAGTGGAAGGGAATAGGATAAACACAATATAAAAGTACGATAAAATTTAATAGAAGAGCAAATACAGAAAAGCAACGATTGTTTCTAACAGTGTGTCAACTAAATTTAAAAACATTTTTTTCAATTACAACCGGCCAGTAGTTTATAGCTGTATGAAAATAAACCTATTTCTAACATATACTCATGTCTTAAGTTTGTCAGCAAGGTCCAAAAGTCATGATTTGGTCGCTTAAGTCGTCGCAAAAAATGGATGAATGAAATCCATTTTTTATATAATAATTTCTTAAGTGAAGTGGGTTTAAGGGTAAGAATGTTCTCATATGCCTTTTAAGTGTATTTTATACTTTCTTTGATGTGCTTGATTATACAAGCTTCAGATTAGAATTGTGTATATCGTTGATGTATATAAACTAAGGATGTATATGTGGTGGGTGGTATGGTTGTAATCTGGAAAGTTGATTATAAAATCTCTTTTTTTCTTTCTTTTATTTTGTACTTGTTTAACCCGGCGAGAATGTGTGACATACCCAAAACCTCCTGTATATATATATATATATATATATATATATATATATATATATATATATATATATATATATATATATATATATATATATATATATATATATATATAATATAAAAATATGCACTAAAATTATATTTTATTGTATGAAGGTAAACAATAATCTATTATATAAAATAAAATGTATTTAAACAGTGTTTATATTATTATTTAGCAAATTAAATAAGTTTTTTGTACGTAAAAAAATATAGGTACTTTATTGGATCTCTAAAACAAGTTAAAAAAAGAAATACTTGTTATAAAAGCTTTTAAATTATTAACAATCAGTCTTTGGACAAAATAAAGCAATAAAATCTTATCATAATCTTTTGGAATAGGTTAGAAATTAAGGTCACCGTCAGCACAACTTTTGCAGGAAAATATTGTATGCTCTATACATATAGCTTTTCCGCATGTTGTACATAAGTGTTTTTGTCTTTCGATCTTCCTTGGACAATCAGCATACCTGTTATATCGCCCAGCATTATTCTGGAGTGAAAAACCTGGTTCTTCATTGATTTGCGAACAAATTCTCTTTCGAATGTATGCAGGGGTATTTTTTTTTATCTTTTCGCAATCGTAAATATTCATACACAAGAGCTAACACCAGATTGCGGATAAACTTGGTTCGCTTTGTGTTTTGCTTTACATTTTCCGGAAAAAATATATTTGCTTTTGAAGCAGCTATGTTTAACATCCCATAAAAGATTGTCATAGGCTAGCGCTTGCTGTTACGAGAAACATCATGTGGAGCACAGTTCATCAACAACATCTACTCTTGCTTTTGTTAAATTATAAAATGTTATAATTTCGGGTTTATTCTTATCTACTATGGTCTCATTAGTTCTGTCGTCGTGATGTAAGGTTGACACTTTATTCTTTTTCGGGGCGTATGAAATTAATTCAATGTCCTTTTGGAAACGGAACAGAGAACTTCCTAGTTCTTTTCTAGTCTTTAATAAAGCGGCCGAAATACATCATTTGTTCTTTCGTACAATTCCTGTAGATGTAAGTCTATAGTTAGCCAGAAGATGTAGCATAAGTTCATAAGTGCTAAACTAGTTTTCAAATGTCAGATTTCGCTTGGACTTTAATATTGGCTGCACAAGTCTTTCCATCACATCAAAGGCTTTATTGCTTACTGCATAAGTTCCAATCTGTTGTTTTCCTGCGTAAACTTCTAAATTGAATGTGTAAAAAGATTTTGTATCTACAAGGGCTTGGATTTTAATGCTGTACTTAGCAGGTTTACTCGGAATCGGCCCCTTAAATGCTAATAATATTTCGTCAATTATCATATATAATATCAATAAAATAAAAAATTGGTGAAGCGACATGGTTGTTCGAAAGATGTCAACGTCTGTACCGTCCATTCTCCACAAATAAGATTCTGGCGTCTTGATTTATTGAAGCCAACAATATACAACAAACCAAGAAAAGCGTCAAATTCCGAAGCACTTGTCTCTTTAATATATTTTTTCTGGATTATTACACTTTGCTTGTTTGTTGATTATTTTTTGGTTTATGTATGTCAATACAGAAGTCTTCATTATCAGTAAAAAACATATTCCAACATTCAATTTCAGTTTTAGCTTTTTCTGCTATTCTTTTTACTTCCGGCTGCTCAAAAATTATGTTCTCGCTACGAGTACGCAAATTGGTTCGTGGAGCATTTTTGTACCATTTCTGGTCATCTTTAGACTTATAAGAAACAGGAATACGTCGATTTCTCAAATGAGAGAAGAATGTCATTTTCGGAATCACTAACCTCTAGCTCTTGTACTCGATCACTGATTTCTTGTTCTGTCTCAGATCCAGGGTTGTGTTCACTGCAATGATTGAATTCGGGTTCACAGCTTGACTCGTCTGAACATTCTTGAAAAACTTCTTCTATCATGGACGTAAGACGCCTTTTCTCTATTTCGAAACTCATTTTCAATCAAAGCACAAAATAAGCAACGGAATCAAAAATAACATTTACGAGTTTTAGTAAAAAATAGACGCATCAACTATATGCCGGGGTATTACATATCCGACAGGACTTTACGCACGTATATCTCAAGCACCGGTCAGCGCGACACTGCGATCTCGCCACTTTTTCCTTCCGCACCTCCTTAACTGCAGCTATACGAAGCGAGAAGTCAATAAAAAATAATTAAAAAAATATGACCGTTGAAATAACGTATGGGTATGTCACACCCCACCACAGTCTCGCCGGTTAAGTATAGAAAGACACATTTTGTTGTTTCTCTTGGTTTATAATGTTGTATCGATAACAAAAACAAAATGACATATTTTAACAAATATAAGTATGACATAAAAAAGGAAAATATAACTAAAATAAAAATCTAAAATTAAAAAATGACTAAAATAAAAAAAAAACACTTATAAAAATATCTGTTGATTCTTTATTGTACTCACAGTATACAATACAAATAGCGTGCTTAAAAGGTTTGTTAGGGGTTTAGTTATTTTGCTGTCTGCTATGAAGCGACGGTAGTAGTAGATAGTAGATTATATATCTTTGCGTGATTTAGAAGTTGGGAAGTCTTTAACTGCTTGAATTTTTTCGGAATTAGGTTTGATTCTTTCAGGGGATATCACATGTTCACGAGAAGCTTCTTCTTTCCTCAGAAGTTCACATTTACCTGGCTGTTAAACCGTGTTTTCTAAATCGTTCAAAGACTTCAGTCGGTATTTGTTTGTGTTTTGGTGATTAGAAGCAAATACTACGATATCGTCTATTGTGGTTTCTTTGTCTTGTTTTTATAGTATAATGTTTATATAATTAAGTATTTATTTTGTTTGTATATACAGTACCGGTCAAAAGTTTTCGATCACTAGTAAAATTTTGGAAAAATCCTAATTTTGTAAATGAAAAGTCAGTATTATTATTTATAACTATAATAGTAGTTATTAGTGTTCAAACATGAAAAAAAAAATTAAATTGAACGTAATTACTATGTATATCACACTTTTCCAATTTTAGATTCTTCAAAATATCCTCCTTTGGCTGCTATCACGGCACTGCAAACTCGGCATTCTTTCTATTAGTTTTTTCAAAGAATCTTCTGAAATTTTACTCCAGCAGACTTGTAGGTACTCCCAAAGCTGATTCTGTTTTAGTGGCTGCATTTTTCTTACGTTTCTATGTAACTCATCCCATAACAACTCTATTGGGTTTAAGTCCGGATACTGAGTAGGCCAAATCATATTTTTAAGCTCTCCTTGCTTTTCTTTATTGACTAGGTAATTTTTGCATACTTAGGTCTAGAGCAGGAGGTGATGGATTTTAAGAACCAGTTAGCTGAAATGCGTACGGCACAAACTGCTCCTGTGATGGAAACCGACATCTTTGTGGCCCCCAAAGGCAGGCCTCCACCTACTGTACCCCGAGGCGTCTCCCAGACTGCAGCGATCTGTGGGGCTGATTTGGAGCTCTTTCGGGAGCAAATAATGATAGACGTGGGTGACATGGTCCAGAGACAGATGCGGGCCATGTTTCAGGAATACATGGGACGACCCGCCGTGGTCGATGCTCCCCATACTCCAGAACGTCAAGAGCCCCATGACGTCTCACTGCGCCCGCAATGGCGTCCCCCTTTACAGGGTGATGCAAGATATGAGGAGCTCGCCAAGCTCCAAGGTGCGGGCGGTCTCAGCTACAGAGGCAAACCGCACGAGCTCTCAGTCTCACAGGACACGCAACCCTCCCCAGGCCTTAATGCTCAGTCGCGACCAGCGGCCAGTCGGCCACAGCGTGTGGCACCCCCGGCAGTACCGTCCTCCTCAAGGACGCCAGTCGATACGTGGGCCACGGTAGTACGGCGCGGCGGTAACAAACCCTGTGCTAGGGATTTTATAACGAGGTGCAGTAATTTTCAACAGGCTTTTGAAACCTTCGTTTTCAGCTACAAATAAAGGTTGATTGTCTGTAAAGACATCATGTCAATCATAAAGAGTATTGCTTCTTCATTATTAATTTTCATTTTCTTGCTTTGCTCTTCTGCTTTTAATTCGGGGCTAGTAGTTAAAACAGCAAACTTTCTAAGACATCTTTTGTTTGCTCTAACCCTTGACGGTGCCTTTGGAGAAGGACATACTGCTTCTGGACAGAAAAGAACTTGATCTCCGAATTGTTCTTCTATAACACCAGAAGATACAGGCAGATAAATAACACCTTATGGCCCTGGTTCATCAAATATTGTTCTTTCATTAGTACTAATGTTTACAGCCTCAGCTGCGTTAGCGTCTATTATAGGAACAGTCTCCGATATTGCTTGTGATGATGGTACCTAAAACGTCTAAAGCCATACCTGCTTCGTTTATTGTGCGATCTGTAACATATGATGAAGCATAGTCGTCTTCTGTAAAAACATTAAGGTTATAAGACTAAATACCATGCCAAGTGTCAGCCAGTCTGGGCCAGCTTTTTTATTTCCGTGCCAAGATGGTGCAATATTGGGAGCATTGAATTTGAGTACTCATACATGCATACACTAACTTTTTGGCTTCCTCTGGCAGAAGACCGAAGAAAATTGAAGCACATAACAAATATTTTGATAACTTATTTTCTTGTTCTTCAGTATAGACCAATCTTATTTTTTTGTAGCAAATTTCGATATTTTCTACTCCAAATCTTAATTTTTTGACATATCTATATAGTGTCATATGACAAATTACAAATTCTCTGCAAACAGTTTTTATTTTTTTTTCCATCTTTGATAACTTCATCCGCTGCTTTTTGCATCAACTTCTTTGAGACAGAACCTCGTGTTGATTTACGAATATAAGTCCGCATGCTAAAAAAGAAAAAAAAATATTACAGCGATATTTTTAGATTTGTTGTACTTATTTTTATTCGAGGGACTTTCCCCAAGTATAGTTGTCACCCCTGTGCCTATTTGATTTCGAGGGGTGATTTTTTGTTCCGAATTACGTAAAACGTTGACCCTCACCGTGTTTACTTTTACTATTTATAAGATAACTTAAAAACTACTTATTCTATTAATATGCTGTTTTCACTTTTGGGTACCTGGTGAAATTCCTCGTCAGGTTGTGGTATCCTCTTGCCGGCACTTCAGCAGTCTCCTGACAGTACTCCTTCGAAGTTGGGATATCAGCAATTTTTGCCGTTTTCCTCTTCTTCCTCGGCTCTGGCGGTTTATTGATTTATTGATTGGCGATTTACTGAGTCTCTTCGTCCGGAAGGAAGCCTCTAGGTCTGGGGCTGCCACCTGATGATGAACCCTTCTCCTGCTCAGTCAGGAACATGGACCACGTGTCTACGTGGTGACGGAAAACCCCCATAACTCCGGTTTCCGTCGATCGATTTTCCTGATTTTTGCAAAAAAGTATGCAGACACCACAGGCGATTCGCTGGTCGGAGTCACCTGTTACAGGTCTCGTTTCTGTGTTATAGTGTTTATAAAGTTATTTTTTGACTTCGGTGACTACTGTCCCCGCTACAGCACTCCGCCGCTCTTTTTCGTCACTGATTAGTGACCAGCACACTTCCGCAGACCTGAAGCCACTTTTTATTTCCACCGCACACTTGTCTTTTTGTAAACTTATCCTCAAATTGTTTTTAGCTATATCTTTTTTATTTTCCACTGGAAATGAAGTAATAGAGAGGATAGCATAAAAAACTATTTATTTCTTTTATTTTGTTATTTTACCTAGACCACAATAATGATAGTGCTAAACCGGAAAGGGAAGAGAGATAATACAAATTTTTATACATGACTTCTTACGGCTCTGGATAGTCTAACAGGAAAAATCTAGTTTTTTACATAGAGATATAAGACCCTAGAACGCATCGATCTACAGTTCAAAATTAGGTGGGTTATCAATCACTTGCGATATATCCACCGATTTACACTATTTTTGTTCTGTGCTTCCTTAATTTTCACTGCAAACTTTCACACTGTTGGCGGGTTGATCTCTAATGTCACCTTATAGAACTGAAAAAGTCGCTAGCCATAAGTAACCTCTCGTGTCCGAGTGATCCCGGGATATCAGTTTCTAACCCTTGCTACTGGGAAACAACAATTTTATACTGGAAGCATCGTGGGACTGATGGAGCCTCTGTAATATTGAAGTAAATGTAAATTTTTGTTTGGAACTAAGAATAAGGTAGTTGACCAAAGAAGGCCTATCTTAATTTTTTTATTACCTAACTAGCGGGTTTATTATAACAATACGCTGGTAATTTGAAATACTTATATTTATTTATTAAACTTTGTACGAGAATGTAAAGTGGACTGTATGTACGATAAGTTCTTTGAAATATTTGAGAATGTGAAAAACGACAAGTTGTTTTAAAAGCAGTACTAAATTACCTAGATTCAAAATTAGTTCAAATGACTTACCCTTTGATTAGCGAAAATTCCTTTTACAACATACTCAGATCACTCAGTTCCCTAAAGCATGCTAAAGTTACCTGAGATTACCTCGTAAATGTTATAAGAACTAAGGGTTTCGATCTTGAATCTTCCGACAGACGTTTCAATCTTAAATCCTTTTAAATATTTAAGAACGACACGAGAAATTATCTGTTGTGTAGTTCTTTTATAAAACAAAAATATTAAATTCAAAAACTAGTCACACGATTGTGAAATTAAATGTTATACTTATTAAATACTTTATGAGCGACAACGACAAAACTGTTCTGTTTCTGTATTTAAGAGCAGACACCAACAACTTTTTTTTATCTTACTACCTCCAATCAAAATTATTAATTGCCACATACAAGAATAAATGTTTTTATGAATTATCGAGAATGTTGCCATGCAATTATTACATCTAAAGTGAACATTCCGCCCACCTAAATACAAGGTATTTAAACGAAAATAAATAATAATAATACACAAAGAAGTACAATTATGAATCTTAATAAAGTTTACTAATATAATTTGAAATTACAGCTATTAAGAATAAATAATTTAGCGAAAATATTTTAATAACATATAGGCAATGGACAAATTTTAACAACTGGTCTTTTGTATTGACCGGTTACAGTTTTTACTGTTACAACCCTACAGACACCATCATGTCCGGGATGCAAAGCGATGATACGACCCATAGTCCATTTTAAGGGGCTTGATTGTTCATTTACAATTAGTACTAATGTACCGATAGCTATATTAGTATAATTTTTATCCCATTTAGCCTTTTGGTTAAGCGTGTGTATATATTCACGTTGGTACCTACGCCAAAAGTCCTGATGGATTTTTTTAACTAGCTTCCATCGCTGAAGGATGCTAATAGTTTGATTGGTTATATTTTCTTCCGGAATAGTCGACAAAGGTTCCAATGTCAAGAAATGGCCTGGGGTTAACACTGAAAAATCGTTAGCATCAGAGCTGAGTGGCGACAGAGGACGAGAATTTAACATTGATTCTATCTGAGTTAAAATTGTATAAAATTCTTCAAAGGTTAATCTTTGAAGACCAATAACCCGAACCAGATGAGCCTTGATAGACTTTATTCCAGCTTCAGCCAACCCATTAAAATGCGGGCTACCAGGTGGGCTTAACGAAAATTTTATTTCTTGAGATTCTGAAATCTCTTTCATGATCGAAGCAAGATAGTTACTAGCACCAACGAAATTTCTTCCTTGGTCCGATATAATATGGCTACAACGACCTCTTCGTGCGATAAATCTTTTTAATGCGGCTAAAAAGGCTTCAGTTGTAAGTTCTGAGGCAAGCTCTAGATGAATGGCCTTGGTGGCAGTGCACACAAAAACGCAAATGTAGCCTTTATAGGTCTTTACGCCCCTACCACGACCTAACGCAATATCAAAAGGACCGCCGTAATCAACGACAACATTTGAAAAAGGTTTAATTTGATTGATACGATAAGCGGGCAGATTGCCCATAAGAGGGGCTGGAGCCGGCTGAGGCTTAGCCCGAAAACATTTCATACAACCTGCTATGACAGATCGAATCGCTCTCTTAGGTGACAGAATCCAAAAATTTTGCGCCAGTATATTCTGAAGTGTTTGTGCACCAGGATGCATAAACTTTTTGTGACAATCATCAATTATGAGATGAGTTAGGCGATGATCGCGAGGTAAGAGAAGGGGGTGCTTGACATTATAATTTACATTGGCATTAGCCAGTCGTCCGCCCACCCTCAAAAGTCCCGCAACATCGAGGAACAACGACAATTTACGTAAGCTTTTAGGAAGTAAATTCGAACGGTTTCTTTTCAAATTATCAATTTCCTTCGAAAAGGTAGTTTGCTGGACATATTTAATTAAATACATAAAAGATTTATTCGTTTCAGACGACAATAAAGGACCAACATTTTTTTCATTTGAACTGCTTCGACGCGAGTTATGAATAAACCGGAAACAAAACGACAATACACGTTTCAAAGTTATTAGCAACGAGAATTTATTTAATAACTGATCGACAAAGTTGACATTAGAAGAAGTTTGAAGACAAAGAATCTTTTGCTCTGCTTGAACGTCATGAGAAGATGGCAAAATTAACAATGATTCTGGCCAATTTTCTTCAGGTTCAGATAGCCATACTGGCCCCTTCCACCAACATTTATGTTTAACTAAGTCAGCTGGATGCATGCCGCGTGATCCTCCATCAGCAGGATTAAAATTTGTACTAACATGATGCCAACATTCAGGAGAGACTATGTCTTGGATATGACTTACTCTATTAGCTACAAACGTCTGCCATTTAGATGGGCATGACTTTATCCACGACAAAGCAACAGTAGAATCTGACCAAGCAAAAATGTTATTTATATCATGCAGTGGTTTCAAAGCACTCAGTACTGAATTTATCAAGTCTGCTAGTAAAACAGCAGCTTGTAACTCCAATCGAGGTAACGACAGTTTACGAAGAGGTGCAACCTTAGTTTTTGCACAGCAAAATTCGACAGAACAACAACCATTTGCATCGACAGACCGACAATAAACGACAGCGCAATATCCACGCTCTGAAGCATCACAAAAACCGTGAAACTGTAGAGACACAAAAGAGTTGACCATACGACGAGTGATAGAAATAGACGACAAAGACGATAATTGAGATTTGAACTTCGACCATTCCCTGGCAATATCCTCAGGTATATCGCTATCCCAAGAAACGCCCGAAGTCCAAAGAAGCTGCATAAGATACTTAGCGTAGAATGTAACAGGACCAAGAAAACCTAAAGGATCATAGATTCGTGCAATGTCCGATAATATTGTTCTTTTTGTGAGTCGCCGCTCTTCGAATTCAGCAACTTTAAATGTAAAGCAGTCTACACTTGGTATCCACAAAAGTCCCAAAATTTTAAGTGTGACATCAGAGGCTTCTTCGAAACTCCTAAATTCCTCTGAGTACAAATCAGATGGTTTAATATTATTCAAGAAATCTTTATGATTAGAGGTCCACTTTCGTAAATGGAACCCATTCGACGACAACATTTTAGTCAATTCCGATCTTATGCTTAAAGCCTTTTCGACAGATTCAGCTCCTGATACCACATCATCCACATAAATATCACGACTCAACACAGCGGATCCCGATGGAAATTCCGTTGCCGAGTTTTCAGCCACTTGAGCAATTGTACGCAGCGCTTGATAAGGAGCAGACGACACGCCATACGTGACTGTAAGGAGTTTATAGTCTCGAATAGGTTCATCAGGTGAAGATCGCCACAGAATTCGCTGATATTCCGAATCTTTATCAGAAACCATTATTTGACGGTACATTTGTTTAATATCACCTGTGAAAACTACAGAGTGCCAACGAAAACGCAATAATAAATCAGTGATATTTAATTGAAGCTTAGGACCAGGCAAAAGAGTATCATTTAAGGACAGATTATTAGCATCTTTTGCACTGGCATCAAATACGACACGAAGTGGAGTTGTAACTGATTCAGGCCGTAATATACCATGATGAGGGATATAATAAAATTCGCCGACACTACTGATTGGAACATTGACTTCTTTAAGATGACCACATGTCTCATAGTCTTCCATGAAAGAAGTATATAGCTGGCGAAATTCAAAATTATTTTTTAATTTATTTTCAAGCGACAAAAACCTTCTCATAGCTATCTCCCGCGAATTTGAGAAGATGGGTTTATTATTAGGATCAATGAAAGGTAAGGGTACAATAAACCTCCCTTCATGATTACGATGAGAATTTTTAACGAAGTATTGTTCACAAATCTGATCTTCCTTCGACAATTTTGAAGAAGATGTGACATTTTCTATCTCCCAAAATCTTTTAATATTATTATCTAACGACAAGTTCGAAATATTACACTGGGAATTATTTGTAACGAAATAACAATCCGCGTTTCGATTTTGACAACTATCAGCTGAGTTGCACTCACCCATAATAATCCAACCAAATACAGTGCGCAAAGCCCGTGGTTGTCCTACTTTACCTTTTCTTAAACCAGGGAGCAGTGCAGAAGCAAAAACACCAGCGCTTAAAAGCATATCAATTGGACCAGGACGATCGAAGTCAGAGTCGGCAAGTGATAATTTATTTATGTGAGACCAATCTGCAGAATTAATATACTGGCTTGGTTGATGAGCACAAATCGACGATAACACTAAAGCCTTTAAATTAAAATTACATGGTGATGAAGAGTTTATCGGTTTAATTTCACAAAACGATGACCCAAGTGGTTGTGCTGTAGAATGACCAATACCGCTTATAGACTGCTGTGTTTTAGTTATAGGCAATTGTAACCTGTTTACACAAGACTCCGAAATAAAATTACATGCACTTGCACAATCGAGCAGTACACGAACTGGTTGATAATTACCGTGACCATCTTTTATTAAAACCTTAGCTGTTGAAAATAAAACTGTTTTATCACTAAACTTGGCCACTGATGTCAAGACAGTGCTACTTAATGTTTCATTTTCAGTGACAGAAGTTTCAGGCTTGGGTTTGTCAAAATGCAACAATGAATGATGAGAATAGTTACAAAATTCACAACGATAGGTAGCACGACACTGTTTTACTGTATGACTATTCGAAAAACACAATAAACACAAACGTTTCTCCTTAACAAAATCAAAACGAAATTTTACATTTAGTTTTATAAATTTTTCACATTTAGCAAGAGAGTGCTGGCCTGTACAATATATACAAGTTACATGGGATACCAAAAGAGATGATTTTGCTTTAAATTTTAATTGATTATTTCCTTTATTATTATTTTGATTTATCTTGAAACCATCGACGATGAACCACTTAATTCTAACGCTTTATAGTGCTTCTCAATAAACTTTTGTAAATGTTCAAACTTAGGAATAGAATCCTGAATATCCTCTGTATTCTGATCAAGTTGGAATGCTTCCTTTGTAACTTTATCAAGTTTAGACCACAACAAATGGAATAGCATAAAATTTTTATCTGGCAATTTATATTTTTCTAATATGGCTAAATTTTCTGAAAATGTACGATAAATACGTTCAAGTTCGGAACTTGATTTAAATTTAATGGGTTCACAATATAACATTTTTTCATAGTAGACTCAGGCCGAATTGTAGCGATTTGTCGCTGTCTATTATAATACTTCGTAAGAGTTTCATAAGCATTCATATAATTTTCATTCGTAACAGGATAATTTTTAATCAATTCATAAGCTTTACCCTGAACACTTGACAACAAATAATGTAATTTTTCTACATTCGATATATTCGTTCTATTATGAACTAGAGAGTCAAACAATTGTATGAATGAAATCCAATTGTCTATGGTACTGTCAAAAGGTTTAATACTGATCTTGGGTAATTTCACAGATGTCTGTGGCTCACTATTGTTATTATTTAAGTTAGAAGCACATTTTTTATCTGTGGAATTAATTTCACAAAATCTTTGTTTTATATGTTTCATTTTTGTATCAAATTTAACTGTAATTTCAAATTCACTAGAACGCTCTTGACGATTCAATGTTGATAACAACTTACATTGTGCTATATGAAATTCGTTTGCCAAATCCTTAAAGTCTACTTCAGAAAATCCCAATAGGTCTGATTGTTCCATAATTTCCAATCTCATTACCGCATAATCACGAGAAATGCGATTTATATCACCATTATCATAACTAAGACTTTCATTGGTCGCCATTTCGATAAAATTCAAATTAATGCCAATAAATGAAGTTAAAAATAATAAACTATTAAAAAACGTACACTAATTCACTAATTGTACGATATATTTACGTAATAATTTGCAACGACAACAAAATCGATAAGTATAGATTCAATCAATATTGAAATCAATATTCGATGTATGGCTGTATAGCAATTGTACCTTTGCCTCTCTAAAAATGTAGTGCTTATTAATAATTTAATTCCACTATCAATGATTTTAATAATTAGTTATCTACCCTCGACTAAAATAAAAACTGCACAATGGAATGCAAAAATACTAATTAGTTCAACTAGATAACAGTTTATTTTAATATTATATTACTATAGTTTGCAAATCAAATTTACTAATAATACAATTATGTCGCCTATCAATGATATCCGGCCGATGGGCCAAAATGTACGAGAATGTAAAGTGGACTGTATGTACGATAAGTTCTTTGAAATATTTGAGAATGCGAAAAACGACAAGTTGTTTTAAAAGCAGTACTAAATTACCTAGATTCAAAATTAGTTCAAATGACTTACCCTTTGATTAGCGAAAATTCCTTTTACAACATACTCAGATCACTCAGTTCCCTAAAGCATGCTAAAGTTACCTGAGATTACCTCGTAAATGTTATAAGAACTAAGGGTTTCGATCTTGAATCTTCCGACAGACGTTTCAATCTTAAATCCTTTTAAATATTTAAGAACGACACGAGAAATTATCTGTTGTGTAGTTCTTTTATAAAACAAAAATATTAAATTCAAAAACTAGTCACACGATTGTGAAATTAAATGTTATACTTATTAAATACTTTATGAGCGACAACGACAAAACTGTTCTGTTTCTGTATTTAAGAGCAGACACCAACAACTTTTTTTTATCTTACTACCTCCAATCAAAATTATTAATTGCCACATACAAGAATAAATGTTTTTATGAATTATCGAGAATGTTGCCATGCAATTATTACATCTAAAGTGAACAACTGGATAGTACCAAGTAGGTTTATTATCGTGACGTTTTGGTTTAGGTCCTGTAATCTTGTCTGCTGTCAAAGAAGCAGTCTTTACTGAGGTTCACTTTCGCGTTGCAGCAACTGCAGGTTATGCAGATTTACAGCCAGTAACTGACGCTGATTTTGGTATCTTTGTGTTAATCTTTATTATGGATGAAGTACCAGGGGCATCTTCTCTTGACGATGGTATAGTAATTTGTGATGTGGAATTCGTAGCATTATCACCAAACAAATCTTTTGTTACCTCTTGAGCCCTGTAATTCGAGAGACTTCTTGCGTGGGGAGTAGTTGCTACAATTTTAAACTTAGGAGTTGGTAAAAATTTATGAATCTCATACGTGGTTGATTGATTGTCTATATTATGTGGAGTTCCAACATTCGGATTGTTTTTTGAGAGCAACGACAGTAGCAAATTCTCAGTATTTGTGCTCGACCCATCTGAATCTTACACATTTGCATTTGAAATCTCTTGTTCCCTTGATTCATTAGATAAGATAGCAATATTCTCACTGTTTGTAGGATTTGGAAATTCTGACAATGCAGAGGGCGCGGACGCCACTTAAGGAATAGCATCTGGGTTATATGGATATAAACCTGTATCGCGAAACCGATTTGAGATATTGATAATAGACATACACTTCAGCCATACTTGTGAGAGAATGACATTGAAGCTTGTCTTGTTAAAGGTTCGTTCAGAATGCTAACTGACGTATTTAATCAACTCTTGGTCACAATGGTGTTCAAAAGAACGATAAACAGACTTATCCATGGGCTGTAATTCGTACGTGGTATTTAACGGAAGACAATATAAAGTAATGCCACATTTCTCAGCTTCCTCAACAATAGTAAAGTCCAGGTGGCATTTTGCACCATCAAATATGAGGAGACATAGCCCTGATTTTCTATATTTATGCAAATGATTAATAAACTATGAAAGTTCCTGTCGTCATACTTCCTTTTGGCGTCATCTTCACTAGAGAGCCTGAAGGTAAAATTGTTTGGAATTCTGGCTTTAGTCTCTTGCCTTTGAACAAAATCATTGGCGGAATAGCTAAACCTATAGCATTTCGGCAACCTACCACAGTTACACTTTTAGCATGCTCATTCGCTATTGGATGAACTTTTTCTCTTTGGCTGTCAGAACTTCCTGCTGATGGTGCAAAGACATGCGACAATTTTTTCATCGATGTTGTAAATGTTTTCAGGTTTATGTTCAATTCCAAGTTTATCCAGCACACTTTTGTATTTGGAAAAGTGATTGCTAACAATATCTTTATTTAATTTTTGAGCACCAGCTGGATTTATCATCTGTTCTTTACGACGTTCTAATTCAGGGTGTCGTTTGAGAAATAACTTCAACCATTTCTTCCCCGCGGCATTTTTGGCGTCATTGAAAGTGTTTGGAATTTTCTTAATTTTACAGAACTAATGAAAAAGCCTGTACGCGCAACATCTGAAGTCATCGGCACTCCAACATCAGCCAAACGTATAATTCTTCTGACAAGTCCAGCTTCTTGTTCTATAATCAATATAGAAGACCGACCTAGCTTTTGCGTAGTCGAACCACTTGTTAGATGGTTGCGTAGGGTTCTTTTTGGGATGTTGTATCTGGCTGCAGCAGTATATGTAGATAATATACCCCTTTCTACCTTTTTAACAGCTTTTTCTATCTGTTGCGAAGTTCATTGGGATTTTTTATTCCTTGTGGTAGAAGCTGGTGATCCGTTTTACATGATGTTACTAAAAACAAGAGTTTACTATTTTACCGTGATACTTTTCTGTTAAGTGACATAAAACATTGTCCTAATAAGGCCTGTGCCTGTGGCGTTATAAGGCCTATGCATTTTTTGTAGGCTTTGTTAAGGCATAACAAATGGGTAAACAAAATAACAATTATATGAATTACACTGATATTACAGCTTTTTCACTTATGTGAGAAGATGGCTGGCACGTATAATTATCTTATAGACAAAACATAGCACAACGTATACGGATAAAAATACATACTGATGAATTGTCTGATGAATCAGTTAGAAACATTTATATTTTCTTAATAAATTATAACAATATAAAAAAAAAAAAAAACTCTTAGTGTTTGTCTTTATCCTGTCCTTTTTTTTTTAATCTTGGTCACACCTACATGAAAGTAAAATTTTCTGCAAAGTAATTTCGACAAAATGAGCGTAGCGTCACCACTGATCGTTCTCGCGCATTGGCGGCACGCAGGTCGTCACGTGTTCGCATCGCTGAACCACTTATGTAGATAGTAACGCTATCGCGTAGTGTGTTACGGAGATACAGCTACTATGCCATCTCAGACCACATTCTCCTAATAAATAGAATCACACATCATCTTAATATCATCAACTTCAACTCGAACAAGCAGTTTGGCTTTAAACAACAAAGTTCCACTATCTCTGCCATTAAAAACGCTCTTAATACGATTAACCGCGCCAGAGATAAGAAAGAGCAGGTAATCGTTGTCTCCTTAGATGTGAAATCAGCTTTTGACCGTGCTTGGTGGCCGGCTACCTTTCTCAGACTATGTAGTGCTGGCTGTCCCAATAACTTCTCAGCTACGTCCACAACAGAACACTCCAGATTAACTTTGCCGACTGCTCAGCCAATAAGAGGATGAGCAAAGGATGTATACAGGGCTCCGTATGTGGTCCGACACTATAGAATTTAATTTTAGATGATCTCCTTGAAACACCAAATCCATATGGCTGTGAATTGCAGGCGTGCGGATGACATTCTTCTCATCACACACGCCAGTAACATCAAAGAGCTTGAACGTATCACCAATTCTGCCCTAGAAAAAATCATTCATTGGGGTAATCTAAATAAATTAGAATTCAGTCCAGGAAAAACTAAAATCATGGGCATGACAAATAAATCATCTAAATGTAAGATCATCAGTAATAATAGATTAAAATTCATTCATCAAATAAAATATTTAGGAGTTGTAATCGATCATAAACAAAAATTCATTCACCACGCTGATTATATTATTGATAAAACTAAAAAACTGTGTAATAAACTATCTACTTTTGTCAGACCTATATGGGGAATCCATCCTGAAAATATAAAAACCCTGTATCACCAAGTTATCCTATCTATCTTCAGTTATGGCGCTAGTATTTGGTCTGGTGCTCTTACATTCAAATATGTCAAATCCAAGTTTCTCTCGCTTCAACGACTTTTCGCAATCCAAATAATACAAGGGTTCCGCACAGTCAGTACTGCGGCATCTATCACACTAGCACAACTAACTCCTCTTCCGTCCAAGTTACTAGAGATAGCTGATATTGAAAATTGTGAATCAGAGTTCCAAATATCTCACTAACGATACTCACATCGAAACTCCTACCTCTACATCTCAACTCTTACATCCTGCACTAAAACCCTGTATCACCTTTGACGAAATTCATTCTGTGGCGCCATCGGAGGACCAGAAACTTAACACTTGGCAAATATACATCAACGGAAGCAGTTACGATAATCAAGTTGGATTTGCCTTCGTCGTTATACACCGCTGTGGTTTCGAAATAAAAAATTCAAACTTAACGACAAATGTTCAGTTTTTTAAGCTGAGCTTCTGGCCATCCGAAACGCCTGCGAATGGATCGTAGAAAACAAGATTTCTACTACACACCTATACTCGGACAGTAAATAAGGCCTAACCGAACTCTGCAATTCTAATTCACGCGACGCATTTATAACCAGCACTCATAAATTTCTCCTTCACGCACGTCAACTGGGACTCACGACCCACTTTCACTGGATATCCTACAATCATAATAATACAGATTAAAATGTTTTGTAATTGAACAGGAGGTACATTATCTGATAATATATTTTAACTAAGTTACAGCAAGTGTCATTAATCAGATTATATTCTGGTACATGACTGATAGGTGAAGTAATATTTAAAATATTATGTCTTGGTATTAATGTAGTGCTTTTGCAGTATCCAATACAATTATCCGGGATAATCAGCATACCTGTGCCTGAAATAGCTGTCTCATATAATTTTGAATTTAAACAGTCTACTGTTAAAATTTATTCTATTTCGATTGAATATAGAGCCACCAAACAATAAATTCTCCTATTATAATCTTTGTTTTATATTATGCTGTTTTTTTTTACTAATCACCTTCGCCAATAATTCACTCTCACATACAGGTTTCGCATTCACAGAATACACGTTTTCGATGTCGCAGATGTAATTTCCTAAATTCACGGATTTGCAAATTTCTATATTGTCAAAAACACAATAGTGGGATTTGTCTTTAATCATTGCTATATATTTGTTTTCAGGTATGATCAAGCTAAATGAATTTGGTTCTCTAGGGTTATAAGGTGTCGGTAGACTAATACTATGGAATAACACATTATCTGGTATTGACCAGTGGCACTTGCAAAACAAATATAATCTTACTGTTAACATAATAACATAATAGTTTAGAAATACGGATAGTTGGAGCACAATGGTACGAAAAAAATATTTTTATTTTTGAAAAAATCAGTGTACTTTAACTTAATATTTGCACAACAAAACAGAGATCTATAATCAAACTTAAACCTATTTATCTTTGATTTTGTGAACCCCTTCCTGAATTCCACTGTGCCCCAGATCTGGGGTATAATGAAACAGGGTATGGGGCACATTGGAACACGACCTGTGTTCATACCAAAAAATTAATCAATGGTATCAAATCTTTTTAATACCTTGTCAGGAAATGTGTAGATGCTTTTTTGACGTTTAGTTTTTCCAGATAAGGACGGGTTTGGCAAGACTAGTTCGATATCCTCAGCTGAAATCATTGCCATGTTCCGGTCTCTGCTCTACATTCTAAGGAGCTTTTTGATTTGGTCTTTAAATGATTGAATAGCAGCTATTGAAGTAGAAGGTTGCTGGTCATCGATAGGAGGTGTAGTATCCCTTGGTTGTTGCGGTTATTGCTTCTTATCAGTCAAAAGTCTATTTGTCACTTCGCTTGTTAGAAATTCGTCTTCAGCAAAGATATTTCGGTCGAATGGAAAAATTCCGCCTTTTTTAAATTCAGATTTGATATTGCATTGCAAACTAATTTAAAGAGATCACCGATAAATCATATTGTCACTAGAAAATTTCATAAAGTTCCTACTACTTAACTAGAAATATGCCTCCCCCAAGGATCTTAATTTCCACAGATAGTATAAATATATTTTAATAAAATTTCTAGCAGAAAAGTAAATAAAACAATTAAAGTAAATAGTGTTTGTAATAGAGTTGTAGACTTCAACTGACATAATAGATTATTAGCTTCATCTTCTCGTATTGCTTTCTTACTAGGCCCTTGTTCCTGTATATCCAGACACATTATTGTGAAATGTCGCTTTTTGCAGAACAAACATTTAGGGAAACTTTTAAATTTTTTTGTAAAGCTATGATTAGTAGTAAGACAGATTGGATATATTTTCTTAGATTTAATATATTCTTTTCTCTCTTTTAAACTCATCCTCGCAGCCTTGTAACATTCTGAACTGCAATGTGAATCTTTGTTACACCATACACATAAGGTAAAAGTATCAGTAGATGACCACTTAAGGAGACAGAATATTCTTTTTAAATGTTTGACTTTAATTATCATATGAATTCAGTAAGTTTCTTTTTTTGGAAACCCTGTGAAAAGTGTTTTAACATATGAATAAGTATTTCACCACGTATAATGGTCGAATAAAATTAAAAAAAAAATAAAAATATTCTAATATTAGAAATTTAGTAGTTGACCATCTAAAAACTAGAAGATGACCATATTTTGCATCAGTAGGTGACCACTCAGATGCTACAATTTTAATTGGGTTATTTGTTAAATAAAAAGCAAAATAAGATGAAAAGAAAACGTTTTATTTGAAATATAATATTAATAATTAGGCCTTTTTAAGCCTATAATTTAAATAAAAACAAGGTTCTTAAAGCTCCAACAGATGGTTATAAAACAAAAGGACACTGTCAAACACAAAGCGTAAACGTCAAACTTTTTGCCAAATTTATAATATCATATCAAGGAATGTATCTCTGGAACATCAAATACATTTCTCGTAGAACTGGTCTTCTTGGGAGCCTCTATATGAGCAACTACTGCATCCCAGGGATAGTCGAGCACATCTTTATGTTCGGGCCATTTCCACAAACGACCATTTGATTTCATAGATGAGATTGTTGCTGTTTTTTTCGTAGCTTTAAGTACTTTTCCAGGATAAAAGTTACTGTCGTACTTAAATATGACAAATTCTCCATCTACTTTTTGCGGGGGTTTTAAACCCACAATTGGTGATTCTCTTTCAATCTCATTTTCAGACTCAATCACACTTTCTCCTGAAGAGACCACAGCATCCGAGTCTGAACTGGAGGAAGAGAATCGCAGGTTTTTTTTTACTCGCTTTATTTTGGTTGATTCTAATTTTGTGAGAGTCTTGATTCTCTTTAATGACTCTTTTTTTCTTTCTTTCTAAGCTTTTCAGCAGCCTTTTCTACTTTTATTCGTTCAAGATCTTCTTTTTGCTTTAATTTCTTCTGTAGATATTCCTGATAACTTTTTCCTGAAACAATTGTGGGTAATCTTTCCTTGGGACGTGATTTAGGCGTTTCCTTTTTAATATGAGGCTTGTAAAAGAAATGTTTTTAAAGGGACTGGGAACATTATCCGGTACAGCGACAGAAATAGTGCTAATAACACTATTGATACCGGAATTCAATTCATCAGTAACAGCGCTAGTTGATGGTTTTGGCATGATTTCATGCATGTCAGTAGGAGCAATGATGTCCGATTGATCTATAGTGGTTTTAAGTGCACCTTCAACAACGCTAATTGTTGGTGATCCTGGGATTGTGACTAACATGTTGTCATCAACAGTATTAGGTAACGCAGTTGCTGTTGTTTCCATTGTGGTTTCCAAAACACCATTATTATTGTTAGATGCTGACGCATCGATGGTGATGCCTGATGTGTCAAATCCTTCAAAATTCAGATCACATAATTGGGCCTATTCTACAGAAACACCTAACGATTCAGCCCCTGCTAATGTAGAATCAATAATTTGGTTTAATTGTTGTAGTCTTTTCAGTTCATCTTTTGTTTTTTTCCATAAATTGAACAGCGATAAATCAGCCAAATCACCTGACCATTCATCCAGAGTTGCATCAAATGCCACAAATTTTTCGGGACTGATAGATTCGCTTAAGAAATTTAAGCCCCCTTTCAGATAATGAATTTGTTCGCTTATGTCCTGGTTTTCGCTAACATTCTCAAGTGGGACTTTTACCTCCAATGGGTTCCACGGAAATAAGCCACATTTCTTAAATCCATTTGCCAAAATTGATTTACTTATGGTATTGCCCATTACCTCGTGTAATAACTTGGCAAAATCTTTTTTCTTAAGCATATGAGGCTCGTAATTTTTTATTTTATCAATTCTCCAATTTTGTACATGCCTCCTCCAGGCTTCTTTTAGTGGCTTAAATACTGCCACATCCATTGGCTGAATTAAATGGGTTGCATTAGGGTAGAGTGCTACTAACACGATTCCTTTTTCTTCACAAAACTGGCTAGTTTGAAGTGATAAATGAGATATGTGTCCATCAACAAAGAGAATAACCGGTAAAGTTATTTCATTTTTAATCAGCCAAGGATAAAATATATCAGCCACAAATTCAAAGAATGCTTCACACGTCATCCATCCTGAGTCGGTTTTTCCTATGCCCCAGTCTGAAGGAAAGTTATCTGCAATTTCTTGAGGTATCCGCTTATAGCTGAACAATATCGTGGTAGGGGCTAGGGTACCGTTTGCATTTCCGGTTACCAACACAGTTAAACATTCCTTGTCATCAGCATTTACCTGCTGGTAAACATTTTTTTCACCTTTCCTAGCAAGCACTTTAGGTCCTTTTGGTGCTAAAAAAAATGCTGTCTCATCGCAATTAAAAATGCGCGATGCATCATTCAATATATCAGCATGGCCACTATCTTCCAACTCCTTATACACACGTTTGTACCATTCTGATAGGTGATCACCTGTTACCCTGGCTCTCGATGCTGTCAAATTTTGTGATATCCTCTTGGAAATTGTTGGATTTCACCGAATAAATGCCTTTACCCATGTTCTACCTGGTCTTCCATGCTTGAATAAGACACATGGACGTTTTATTTCCTTTAAGTATTTCTCTACACTCACAACTAACTGTTCGGTTGTCACAGGAAAACCCGCTTTTGCCATTTTTTGCACCCAGTCGCATATTTTATGCTCCTCTTCTGGTGTAAGGATGGATGTCGGACCCATTTTTCGTTCCATAGGTGACTTCCCTTTTACTTTATTTGTAAGCGTTATTCTTGGTACACCGAACTTTTTTGCAGCCGTTCGTATTGGTGTTTTATGAAGACGAACATCGTTCACTGCTGCAAGCATTGCAGCTTCAGTATAATTTAGGAATGCGCCCCTTTTCCCAGGCATCTACAAGATGAAAAATTGGTTTTAGTAATAAGTAGACCATAGCCATAAATTCGTACCATACAGTTAGTCAACTACTAAAGAAAATCAATCTATTGTTGAAAGTAAATAAAATAGTTTATTTTAATTAATTATTATATGCAGCATATTTACAAGATACAGAACTTAATCAAAAGTTGACCACCATGGTCATTTACTAGAAAATCATAGTCAATCGGTAATTCGGTAATGGACCACTATGGTCAATTACTAGAAAATCACAGTCAAACGGAATCAGTATTGGACCACCCCCACATCTCAATTTTGTCAACAAATCTTCAAATTTTAATTACCCTGTCATAAATAAACCATAAACGAATAAGAAACGAAAAACACTTACCGTCAACAAGGTGACAAAGTTCCTAGTATTTAGCTTCAAACTTTTTCAATCTCTGCGAATATTGTAACAACAAACGAATTTATTGATTTTATGGTCCGTCACTCCTCAACAAACAACTGGCAGCCATTTTCTATATTTGACAGATATGGATGCGCAATTTTCGCGCTTAGTTGACCAGATGGCAGCACTGACTACTTATTAACGAATGAGTTTTAAAAATTGCCGCGAATTCTTATTATAACGGTTTATGTGCATTAGCGGTCAACTACAGGTACATGGTCAACTACTAGTGAGTTTACCTTATATCTGTTTTTTTTTCATCATCACTAACTGCTGTATCCAAATGCATTGTCGATAACAGAATGACAGCTTTTCTTTTTTTAAGTACATAAGAACACATAGTCACCTTTTCATGAAAACCAAAAACAATCAAATATTGTTCCTCTGACTTATCTGCTGCCATGACATTAGGAATATACGGTTTATTTTTTTATGATCGACATTGGTAAGATTCCAGGATAATAAATGCTTAGCAACGGGTATTGTAGTAAAAAAGTTATCCATACAGATGTTCCTACCACTTCTTCGGCACGGAGCCGCTAATTCTTTTACCACTCTTTCACCCTTATTTTTTTCGCGAATATTATCTGCTTTGCCAGTGTACAGTAAACCCTGCAAAGGCTAGGCGTTCTCAGCATCACAAATTCAACAAATTTTGATACCATACTTAGCTGGTTTTGAAGGTATGTACTGCGTAAATCCAGTCCGACCACGATAAGAATAAATTATGCTGTAATAATAAGTAATGCTCATCGATTGTCAAATTTTCAGTAGGTTTGTACATCTTGGCTAAATATGAATTAAGCATTGTCCACAAATCACGAATTGGAGTTGCCTTATCTTCTTTTTTACGTTCACTTCGAGTATTATTGTCATTAAATCTCAAAAAACACAAATATAATGGAATTTATTTAATCCCATTGTCGCGCGACACAATGGATACGAATTTGAATGCCACATATTAAAAGTATGATTAGCAAGTAACGGTATTTGAATTATTTGCGCCAGCACAAATCAAGATACCGAAAAATGAATAAATTTCAGGTATCGTAACAGGCTTTCATTGATGTGGAGAATCTGGATGTTCTGCAGTATAATCCACATAAGTAGATAAAGCTTTCTTATTAGTGTGACGGACATAGGACATTTTTTTTAAAGTTTCACTTATTGTCAATGTTCCTGTGCTACGATGAGGCCCACTTCTCTGCCGTAAAATATAATGAGCTCCGGTTTGACATTGACTTGGTGGCGTTTTATTCCATAAAGTTTTATCCTTTGTAATAAAACTTCCAACTGGTCCTCGAACTTGTCCTTAAATAAGTAATAATAACAATATTGATTCATTACTTAAAAACAAAAAATATTATTTCAATCATTGTGTTATATTTTATAGTCTTTTAATAGTAGACGGTTTATGAAATTTTTGCAGATCCTTTATTCATTACTCAGACAGCCATTATTATACAATACCATTATGTCCCATATACACTAATGATGTGATCTTACGACATCCCCCTTTCTTTTACCAAAACAAAATTATTTATATATTTAATAATATACAAAATCTTTAAACATAGGTTTCTTAGTTATTCTACCAAAACGAGTACAATTTTAATTTATACTATTATGATTACCATTGTTGCTATTTTCATTTTGTGAATAATCGTTGTAATTACAATACTTAGATATTGACATATTACTATTTTCATTTCTATCATTATTATCATGACTGACATATAAATCATTAGAACTATTATTTAATTCAAACTGTTATAATGATAAATAGTGTTATTATATTTTAATACTTTTATTGTAGCAGAAGACACAAGACATTGTACAAGCAAGACATTTTTGTACAGTGTTGCCATACTAATCTATATAATTCTAACACTTGTTACATCCCCCTTCTTTAACTATAAATGAACTTAATAAACATGATCGTTTAAATAACTTGGAGGTTTTACTATTCTATCTGACCTAGAGGTAAAGTAATGATTTTGATTGTTGTCACTTTGTACTTGTAACTCAATATTATTATCTTTAATTACAGTTTGCTTTTATCATCACAATCTTTACTTTGACCACTATCACAATCTACATCTATTTTCCTTTCTTTTTTAATAATAAGCTTGGACTGATCTTTACAATTATGCAAATACTTTCTATTTCTATCTAGCATTTGTCCATTTTCACACATTACTTTATATGAATTAGGTCTATAATCTTTTTTAATTATTTCAGCATATGTAAAAGGTTTTTTATCACATTCTAATATAACTTTTTGCCCAATGTTCAATTATGGTAACTTTTTAGTGTTTTTATCAAAATATTTTTTCTGTCTAAAACTGTTTTTATACAATATTGTCTGTATTTTTATATTATCATTACTTGGACATGAATATTGTGGTAACAAACCTTGAACATTTCTATTCATTAGCAATTCAGAAGGAATTTTATTCTCCATTTCTACATTAGGAGTGTTTCTGTACTCTAATAATACTAAATACTTGTCTTTCTTTTCGTAATCAGCTTTTTTAAACAAATTTTTAACCGTTTGCACATATCTCTCGGCAAGACCATTTGACTGAGGAAATGTAGGACTACTAGTTCTGTGAGTTCTGTGAATATAGTAATTCCAATTTTTAGTAAATTCTCTAAACTTTTGAATACAAAAATTTGTACCATTATCCGAATAAAAAATATCAGGAATACGAGTACCAAATCTAGCAAATACTGATTTAAATGCAGCAATTGTTACTTCTGCAGATAAATTACTTAAACTTATAATTTCAAAATATTTACTGTAATGATCTACAATAATTAGAAATGGCTTTTCTTTATAATAAAAAACATCACTTCCTAAAACTGACCATGGCTTATGAGGCTTTTTTCTTATGGTCATAGGTTCTTTACTATTACGTTTTTTAAATCTACAACATGTATTACAATTCTGTACCTTATTTTCTATCTCTTTATTCATAGGAGGCCAAAATATACATGATCTAGCTCTAGCCTTGCATTTTTCAACACCTAAATGATTGTAGTGTAACTGTTCAAGCATATTTTGTCTCATTGACATTGGTATTACTACACAGTTATTTTTAAAAATTAAATCATATACAAAAAGTTCTTCTTTGAATGTACAATAATCTCATAAACTGTCTGGTACTTTCTCTATATTATCTGGCCATCCTTCTATAATATATTTTTTTAATAAATGAAATTCTCTATCATTTTCAGTTTCTTTCTTAATTTCTTCTAATCTACAAGATTGAACTGGAATATTTTCTATAATCATACCTACCTGTGCCTCTATTTCTTTTTCCTTAATATCATCATTACTTTTAATCATTGTATTACAACCTAACTACTTAATAATTTTCAACGGTTACACATTACAATCTGATCCTGTATCTAACTTAAAGTCAAGAAATTTGCTTCCTACTTGAAGAGACTCAAATAAATCATTTTTATTTATTGTCCCGACCTCTATAGAACTAATCACAATGTCTGATGATAGGGATTAATTTATCACTTGCACTTTATTTTTATTTTTACATACTCGCGCGAAATGACCACGGCGCCCACACTTTCTACATTGTACATTGTATGCTAGACATTTATACCCATGACTATAACCACACTTATAACACGAACTATTTTTCTTACTTGCATTATGTATTGATACTTCAGATTGTCTACCTTGTGCTGTTTGACTTTTTCCCTTTGACTGGCTCTTATTGTACTCATACTTACTGTTTCTCTTTACTTCTGCTACCTCTATTTTATTCTCTTTTTCAAGTTTCTGCATCTGTATACAAGTTATTTCGAACGTTTTACATATTTGTATACATTTATTTAGATCAAGACCATGTTCTTTTAATAATCTTCCACGTAGGCTCTTTTCTGTTATTCCTCGAATAATCTGGTCTCTAATTAAATGCCATAGACAAGATTGATTTACAGCGCGCGATATTTTCAAAATAAACGATTGTCTTAGGTACTACCATGTTCAAGGTACCACAGGTTCCTCTACTTATTTCTCCGCAATGAGTGAATTCTCGTGTACCAGACGCGACTTAAGTCTCTTATTGATTGAAAGTGATACAAATTATGTTGATTCTATCTCAAACTATATACGAAATAATTTTATCGAATCTTCAGATAGGAATATAGCAAAAATTATC